TATTGCATGAAGTCTGCTACCCATGAAGCTCATCTGACTGTTTGTGTTTTGAGATGCTTTGCTGCAGCCACTGAGTCCTTGCCTATTCTTGGAAAGCTCTGATTTTATTTATTTTTTGTCATCATGCAAAATGCTTACAAAATTGGATTTAAATCGGACTTGGCCAGTCTAAGATTTTCCACTACCTAAATAAGCAGGATATTTCCAGATGCTCCAGAAAATGCCTTCTGCTTGAGAAACATACAATATAGCAATTGCTGGCAATTTATAATTCATAAAACTGAGTGAGTTGGTTCTAAAGGGTGTCATGTGTGTCCAAGCCATGACATTACCACTCCATGCCTCAGAAGTTGCTTGATAAAAAATGAGTCAGGATCATTTTCATTTTTCAATATTCAATTTGATATAATATCAATATTATATAATATTATGTTATATCACTCAAATATTGTTCAAAATTACATTTTTACATTGCTTTTAATTAGGTTTATTTTCAATTAATTTATTATTAAGTCTTCTGTACTTAAATATAATTTTAGAAAGACTATGAATCTGGACAAATCAAGAGCTTATCAGCCTAATCACAACCACTACCACAAGAGGAAAGGTGGAAGGAAACTAAAGTACCTGGATAAAGAACAGACAAACCCAACACAGAAAGTACTCCACTCTGGAATCGAACACTTGCACATGGAGCTCCTGTGAAGAAGCAACTCTAACTGAAAGGTCACTGTGATATCCCTAAATCACCACATAGAATTATTAAAATAGAATTATTTAAAAAAACTTTTTTGATTTCACCTATTCATTTTTATTTCTAGGGGATTCTATTCTGGTTTTTTAAAGTTGAAGCTTTTAAGCTATTTTTTATAGCTCAGTTCATGGAGCAGCATCAAAACTTCATACATAGTGTACATGCACACAAACAAATAAGTCTGCAAAATAATCATAAAAATAAAATAATTTCATTACAACTAGTAGTTAAGGGTCCTGTAATACAACATTACCGATTTCAAAAACTTAAAGTATGATGAATGTAAAGGTTACACTATCTTAGCTTCACTACATGGTCAGATGCATTCCTTAAAGTCAGCATTTAATTTGCAGCTGCCTAATGTAAATTAAGTACGCATAATTATGCCCATCTTCTCGCTCAAGCATTGTTTCCAATGAATTTTTTACTAAGGCGACCATTAGCTACAACTAATGCCAGTTAAGCCTCAGCAAAACTGAATTATTAAATCTGTCTGCCTATATCCTGTTACAGCCTACTTATGAATACTTGATTTTATTTTGTATAATTGACAAGGGGTGTCAGGAGCGGATCGCTTTGATGGCAATAGACTTTAAGATCAGCTGACATATTTGTCACAAAAGACAAGCCATGCCAAGTGAATTAATTGAAGGGTCATTGTCAGAAGGTTCACGTGAACCTATCATAAACTGTTAATAAAGTACTGTGTAATATTAGTAGCCAGCATGCTAGGTATAACAACGCTGAAATATTAGTATACACATCAACAAAAGACAGAATACATTGACTTTGGAGACATAATACCAGATCATTTACCAGCATCTTAATTTTTTAAGCCTTTATATAAGAGCCGAAATGACAGTGATGTGTGCAGTTTTCATGGTGAGCGCAAGATAAAATGGTTGTAGTGTGAAAGGCTACATCTGCATCACAGCCAGGTTTAGCCTCTGCATCAGGACAACTTCTTAAACAAACAAATAATACAATGCAAACATTTCGGGCATAAAGACATCAACCAGAATCCTGCTAGAAGGCATATTGGCATTTATAAGAGATTGATGAAAATTACTTCCAAAGCATTTATTTCTCCTAATACCACTGAAAGAAGAGTGTGCACTCAAGAGATATTTGATCTGAATTAGGAAACTGATGAAGCAATTGATTAATTGGAATTTAAGCCATCAGTCACTAGAGCCATCAGCAGCATCATTTACATTCTAAACAATCAGCTGATGGGCCAATAGGACACCAAGTATTAATACACAGTCAATATGATACCACTGAACTCATCACAATTCCTTATTGACAAGCACAATGACGCTTTTAATCCAGGCTTGATCAAATTGCATATATTTCGGGATTTCCACACTGATTCAATACGTCTTATGAATTTTTAATCTTGGGGAATGCATTACAGATTTCTCCCTTTATTTCTTTTTAACAAAGCGTAACAAAGGCCAGACCATTTCAGCTTGTATGATTTGAACCATGCTGGTCATGCAAAACAACTGCCTTTGCTTACAACTGGTTTGCTTGGATATATAATGTTTTTTCCAGTTCTATGCATCTTCAAAACCGAAGGAGAGTTCTTTTTTTATTCTTTACATATTATTTTTATTATTTCCAAACACACTCAGATGCTACAAAGTGCAGACAGTAGTAAGCCTTATTAGAAAACTGACTTTGGGACCAAGGTCCCAAATCTCTACTTGCTGTGGGTCAGGCAGGCTTTGCTGCATCAGGTTAAACTAGGACATTTAACCCTTTCAGAACAAAGCCTTACACATGATCCAAGAAAAAAGGCAAATGTAAGCAGGGAAGCAGTATAAAGTAATCAAACTGTGAATTATCCACAGGTCTGGAGACCTGATCTGTGATATATCAATTTTTCATGTTTTATAGCCTCAGATTCGCTCCATGTAGCGTATCTTACAAGTTGACAATATGCCAATAGTGCACTCTCTCAGCTGACATGACGAGAAGTCAGTCTCCATTTCTATGCTGTAAATGCTGCATAAGGTGATTAATCTCATATTACCTTCATCTCCTCAGGCTTTGGCAATATGGCACCCACACACAGACCGCCTGGGAGGAAGGGGTACCCAAAAGAGCCACAGAAGTGACAAGCTGAAGATAATGACCATCCAAAGACGTAAGTAGTAAACAGTAAATATATATAAAGGATATTAACAAACATTGACACAGATCATGATGGTCACAGTGCCATATAAGCACTATATGTCTGCACTCCATGTCAATTCCAAAATCTGGAATTAAAATGACAACAGACTGTGAATCTTTTTATGAAACCTCAGATAATGGCACCTTCCAGGTAATGATAATACAACTGTGCTTAATTATGATTCATAATAGCTAGTCACTATTTTTCTGAGATTCTCATTGCATAATCCCTTATGTCTCAGCAACACTCTCACCGACACAAGATTTGCTTGATGAGGAGCCCAGTCATTGAAAGAATTCCACCTCTTTATAATTGCATGACAAAGTGTAATGTAGTTTGTCTGCTTTACCATATAGGAACGAAACTTTGACTACAGTTACAAGAAGGACGTTATTACTGCATCAAGCAGATCACATTATCTGTGGCATTTCATAACCTCCTTATTATGTACCCTAAAGTTAATAATTCATTACCTTTGTCAAATCAAACAGATGGATAATTTTCAATACAGTAGTGCCCTTCTCCCCAATTCTCCTTTGTAAAGTTCAAATTAGACATTGTGATATTTCCTGAAGTACTCTGTTAATTCAATATCTATTGTGCGGTTTTCAGTTCACAGCAACATCCGCAATATACCGAAGCAATACAATTCTGTGGCTTGAGACGGGTGTCAAAACATTTCTAGCCCGAGTTAAATCAAACTCTGAAACTAGGATAGAAAACTGGTTTGGGGAAAAAATGATTAAGGAAGTTTGAACACATTGTTGGCAGTCTTACAAACCCTAAAGATAAACTTTATCCGACTGTACGTGCAAAACTTCACTCAAGCCATTTGTTATTCTCTTAAGTATTACGTTTTCAAAGTTTCTTAGTTTCCAGACAGGTAGGTTTGAGAGTAAGATTTTCCTTGTGTAGATAGTGGCTGTGGGAAAGAGGAAAGTTGAATCCGGTTTTAAGGTTTTGTGAAAGAGGGGACTGCTGGTAAATCTAATGTTATAAGCAATTTTGTTGTGGTACATGGCAGTTAAGAGAACTTAAGTACTTATGGGAAATTCTAATATATCTAATAGGTTTAAGAAATATTGATCTTGGGGTCTTTCTCCAACCAAGGGGAAATAGAAAGAAAGCAAGTGATAGAATGGTGTTTTCGTGGTTATCTTTAAGCTTGCACTTTTCTCACACTGATAAAAAAGTGTTTCTTCTGTTAGAAACAGCTGCTGCCAAAACACATAGGATTCCTGTGCATAGGCTTCTTATTTATTGTGACCTGAGAGTTACATCACTGCTAACAGTGGCATTCTCTGGAACCAGCTTGTAACAAAGTATTTTTTTTCGTATGGCTTCATAATTGGGATCATCACATTTATATAAGCGAAAAAGGTTGCATCCACATATGTTGTACATCAGGTAGGGATGAGAGTAAAGGAACATTTGGGTTTAGTTTTAAATCATAAGGATAACTCCTCCTGAAGCTGGTCTTGTGGACTATACTGTAAAAAAAATGCACAGACACTTCTCAGTGTGTACGTTTTACAAATTTTAGATTGAACATAAAATTGGGAGATTGAAACTTCCTGATCTCTAAGTGAAAAGGAAAACTTCAGGAACAAACTTTGGCACTGTGTGTCTGGAGCATGACTCCCACTGGCTCAGAGACAGCTCTATATATTCAGAGAAAAACATCCCAGCTCCATACAATTACACTAATTAATTATCATTAACATGGTGGACTATTTACAAGTTAATGTGTTTTGGACTCCAAACCTGTTTGTGATTTTCTTTAACAGGAAAACAAAATACAGCAGAGGTATTTAAAGTATCCGGGTCCAGGGGTTGGAGAGAAAACACTGAGCAGTAATGGCTGAGAAATCCAATGAATTTCAGTAGTATAACAAGAGGTTAGAAATAAAAAAACATTTATGAGAAATGCTTAAACTGCCGTGCATGTTTTAGCAATTTCTTGTTAATTCTGTTACTGAGAGTGTAAGGGAGTGTAACTGACATTGCCCACCACTGGTCTGTAATGAGGTTTCTTCATAGATGACTAAGTGTACTGGGCCTTACCATTTCTCTCTGATGTCCTCAGGAAAATCATGTCAGCTGGAATTCTCTGGTTCTGAAATAAAATGAGTTTTGAAAAATTGTAACACAAATTTACAAAACAGCTGCCACCACAACATCTGAATGTTCAGCTGACGCACACAAAAGCCCAAATCTGTGACTTCTGGTAACAGACCACTTTAGAGGAGCTATCAGAAACTAGATAACTACCACTATGCAAGTGGATCATCGGCTTTAAACATGATCATATTCAAGCTGCCAACTAAGTCTGGTATAAATCCATTACACTGGAGTCTCAGGTTACTTGTATCATGCCAACAAACTTGCTTTCGTACAACATCAACAAGTGACAGAAACCAGAAGGAAGAAAAAAAGAACTTGCTTCAAACGAAACACAAAATCATTCGATCAAAATAAAAATGTTTATTAATATATGGTTGTAGTCTTTACATCCAGTCTAAGAGTGAGATTATCACTTTCATCATGCTGTATGTTCTACATTATGAAAAAGTTTATCTAGACTAATACTTTATATAGATGATTACTTTCAGTTTTAACTGGGCACTTCAAGGACAAAGCAATGAATTCACCACAATACTTTAAAGTCTGCTTCAGATTGGCACACCATATGACACAAATTATATGTGAGTAGAAAATCAGCACCAGTGTTGTGCTGGGCCTAAGATTTTCAAAACAAGAACTCATTATTCTTTTATTATTAATAAGAATAAGAATTTTATCATACCTAAAAAAATATATTTGAGCACCCGCACTTTTACTTTTCTTGGTCAGTTTCATGGAGTTCACACAGTTCAGCAACAACCTGTTTCCTACAATTATTACCTTCCCTTATTTTTCTTATTGGGATCTATGAAGCTTAAATTATTTAAACTATTCCAGAAGATAATGAAGACTCACGTTATTCAATTTACTCAAAATCTATGACAAAAGACAGAAAACTTGCTTACAGCTCTTAGCTCTGACGATTTCTGTCAGAATTGACAGATGATTCCAACTGGTCACCACCTTCTTGTGGCGACTGCAGTGACTGTTTGCAATTGTTGACTGATCCCCTCTAGAATGGCAGGTATGTTTTTAACTGACCCAGTCAACATAACTGGCTTGATGGCGAATAACAAGCACCACCTTTACAATAATTAAGCCCAAACAAGAGAGAGAAAAAACTTAATTACCTTTTCAACGATTATGAGGTCTCCGACTTGTATGTCAGAGCTCTTAACTTGAACTTTACCTAGAAGACATCAATACTGACATCAGTGACATTTTCAATGACAAATGATAAAAGAATCTCACAGTTTTAAATATTGAAACTGTAGTTTAAAATTCCATGCAAAGCAAATTCATCAAAAGCATAAATATAGAGGTTTTTGAGTTTCATCGTTCAAAAAAGTGAAAAGTGATTATGGTCTTTAGTTTGTGAAAAGGACCCTAAAGCCCACACAACAGTCCTATGCTTTTTCTTTCACCTCATCTTTCTCTCAGAGATTGATTGCATTCTCCCATGCAAATGTAATACTCCTCCATTATGATCCCTGGTCTGGGACCCAGAACAAATCAGAGACACACCAGGTCACTGTCAATTATATCCATTTAATACCCACTTATGTCTGCTACAAATCAGTTCCCAGTGAAGATTACATCTTGCTTTTGGGGTCAGAGATATCACACTGGAGACCCAGAGAATGCTTTCTTTAGTAATCTCAGGAATATAGGCTGGAAAAATGTGAAGTTCAATCCTATTAACACACGTTGTAGGCTGTATTTCTTTCCAGGTTTTCGGATGTCTCCATAAAGCTGGCCAGTTAAAAGTTTATTTTAACAAATAACAAACAGTTCAGATTTTTTTATGATGGAGAACATTAAGTTTATACTGTGGTCATTGCTCTGTGAGTCAATGTTGTTCAGTTGCACAAAGAAAAGAAAGACCAGCCTGCAAGGGAAAAATACTCTCACATGAGGATTTATTTTCACGTTGCATATACACTGTGAGGCCAACGTGCAGCACGCCTTCAGTTTACGTCATGTTCCCCCTTTTTAAAACGAAATGCAGATGCTGTCAAATTTAAGACAACTAGTCTAGCAGTACAGTATGTGTAAGTTCACTGCCCAACAGAATGTGCTGATGAACAGAAGTAGCAACATACTACTACTTCTACTATTAACTCTGGCTTACAGGTGGACCAAAGGAAATGTTTATCCTCATCAAAGTAAAGCAAGTAACATGTTTTGGGCACTGTCACACTGCAAACATGGTCTTCTTACCACATCGACTGACAGTATTTACGTTAAAAGGGAAAAGATAATAAAAAAGCTCCTGACTTGTTTTAATGTAACACTGATGGATCGTGCACTCCACTGTAGCAGAACTGTCGAACACAATTTTTTTTTTATTTCTTATTCCAACAAGTGTACTGAGTGGATGTGTGTTCATTTAAATCTCTAAGAGACCTTTTTAAACTGTTTTAAAAATGATTTATTTTTTATTTTTTGTGGGGTTGTGACACAGGGACTTAGAATATACAATAGGGATATATTCTGATGTTTCAGAAAATTCCACTAACATCCTTTAACATGAGGCTGAATACCAGGTCGTGTTTTTAACTGCTGTAGATCTGAGATTATCCTTATGAGTATATAACTTTGCTGCGAAAGTGACACTCTACCAGTTATCTGCTTTATGATCACAAGGCAAACAAGAGGATATGGGAGAAAGAGTCCTGTTACTAAACAAGGTGCTGCTGAGATTTTCTGTTTTATGCTTTATTCTATGACAAATTGAAAAATATACATATACAGATAGAAATATATACATATACAGATAGAAAAAAAAAGAAAAACAATCTTTACCACACTTTTCTTTCTATACAGATGAAGATGGACTTTGATATGAAACACCTTGCAACACCATTTAAACATTGTGCACATCACAAAATCTGTTGCCTCTTTTCCCATCTTATTGGCAATACTGAGGTAAGAAATGCATTTTATGGTGTTCCTGTTTAATCATATAGAACATTATCCAAGAAATATTTAGTGGTCTTCATTTTAGAAGAAAATGATTATGCAGAAAGATCCCAACAAATATCAGCTGTTATTTTTTTACCTTTCAATTCATTTTTTTACAATTATTTTACTTTTCTCACAAGTCTGTCTTCTGTCCTGCTCTTTGACTTTGCCCTAGAATTTTGGTTTGTAAGCTTAACACATTTAATCACAGTGAAACAAAATCTAGTTTTTAAAAACTCTTGTGCATAAGGCACTTTTGTGCTATACAGATCAAATACATTTGAGGTCAATATAGTTCTGACATTTAAGGTGCTTGCAGATTTAGGAAAAGAACAAAATGTAATTTATAATTTTCCAAAACCTATTTTTTTTTATTCACATACAAATATAGCAAAGTGATTTAAAATTATTTAGGCTCATCAGTTTTATTGTTATTACAGATGAAAAGCAAAAAAAAACTTCATAGTTTTATCACTTTAATGATTATCAGGAAAATTATTTTTTCTCTCCAGCCTTGTAAAACTATGTTAACAAAGTTGTGACAAGTACAGGCAATATGACTGAGAGTAATTTCTACTAGTTGTATTGAATTGCATGTCTCTGAAACATTAAACCATTTTGTAACAGGGTACTGCCACTTAAGATAGCCAGATAGACATGCTGATAGACAGTTTAATATATATATTGCTGAGATATCCAGGCCACTCACCGGAAAATAAAGAAAAACTCAATCTCATTGATGTAAGAGCTTCCCTGGTGTATTTTTAAATGTGCACAAACTCATTTAGACAAAACACGACTTTGACTGTCATTATTTTTTTGTTTTCTATTTTTAGACCCGATCAGATAGCACCAGATAAAAGTGTAAGCATTACGTTTTCCAACCTCGTACTGTGAGCTTGCTGTACAACTGGGAGTTCATCTCCTTGTCCCTCCGACAGCGGCGTACCTCGTCCACAGCCTCACGCACCATAGTGACTGCCAGGACAAAGCCCTGCAGGACAGAGCACCACAAGGATGCACAGCAAAGAGCATTACAAAGTTATAAACATTGTCATTTTTTGTGTTTCAGATTTGCTATACAAGAACCTGTTAAAGTCAGCACGTTGTTTTAAATTCTGGATGACATCATATAAGACCATGCCTGAGGAGGCCAAATGTTTTATAGATATCTTTAAAAAAATGCATACACAATTAGGTAGCAAAGGTTGACCATAATTAACCTGTTTTAGCAAGAAAGTAACTGCTAGAGGCAATTCTTAATAAGTCCTAAAACCCATATTAGTCTCTTCACTTCATCTACAACAACTCTTGTTAGCAGGTATCGCAGGTGCTTTAAAAAAAACGTATATTACAGAACTCTCTCGCATCTGGCTTACCAACGGCCCAGCTGTGGTTAAAGTCTTTTTAGGGATGTTGAACGTTTGGAAGAAACCACATTCAAATGCAACAGAGCTTGCAGAGATAATCCAGTGGTATCAACAGCACAGGCGCTTTCAGTGGCCATAAAAATACATTCCTGTTGCATCTTTGTGAGAGATGTGTCATTATAAATAGTTCTGAAGAACAAACATGCCTTTTCAAAAACTGTAAATTAAAGCAAGATGTAATGCTACTGCTGTGCTCAGGGAATGACTATTTTATTGCTTTTGCTTCGTTTTAAAGGTTGAAAATGGGTAGTCTACAAATGCATAGTTTTCTTAATAGAGAATCGTATACTCCAGAAACTAGCACACAAATTACACATACACCCATTAAAAAAGGAAGGAAAACAATATAACTACTTTGTCCAAAACCTTTCTTAAAAGGCTTCCAATCATGTGTTTCTTGGCTGGTGTCAAGGGACATGCTCAAGTAATGTTGTTTTTACTGACGCAGGAGCAGAAAAAACACCTCTTTTCTTGTTTCTTTTTATTTCTGCGTCACTTTGATCTGTGAGCAAAGTTCGAAGAGAGGTGCTTTCAGAACTTTACAGCACAAAATGACATTAAACACGCATGCTAGTAAGATAAATATTTGCAAGCCATGAGAACAAAATTTTAGATGTACTTAATAGAATCTCAAAAACCTTACTGCACAACAGAAACTAAACTCAAAAAATAAATATCGATAATTTCATTCCAAACACAACTAAAGGCTTAGGAAATGAGCCATAAAAATATTTAAACTGTCAAAGTTGGCAGTATTTGGTCATCAAGAAAAGTGTTTGTTTTTTTAAGAAAATATTTCACCATTAGTCTTCTTCCTCTGTTGTGGCAGAAGTGCATATGGCGGCAGTACAAAATATGGGTTGTTACATTTACACATCTAATTAAACAAGGGCCCAACAATTTTTAAATCAAAAAGATGAAATGTAATTGAAAACTTCAACATAATTAATACTTGTAAGCCAAGGCCTTGGAAAATTACACATCTGAAAACTCTTCCCAGCAGGGTACATGAGATTTATAAATCCTACTGTTTTAATAACGGTAATTATATTTAAAGAATTTTTACATGGACCTGAAAAGGTTTATGAATGTTTTATGTACACTGACAACCTTATTTTCTATGGTGTTACCCTTTTTTTGTAAACGGATCTGAAACTTTTTTGCAACAGTATGAAATTCCTACATAAACAAATCAATACAGATCCAAAAAAATATCACAGGCATAATTAAGGAATAATTAAATACAAAAGTAATGACAGACTATAAAATACCCATCTATAGTCAAATGTAAAATATCAACTGCCTTTTCTACATACCAATTATTACACAAGGTCAACAACAGCTAGGCAAAGTTAATAGTGTTTGTCAGTGGACTGAGGTGTGCTGTCTAATCCCAAATGAAAAAGGTCAGTGAAATATGTATTCCCAATGATTTATTTATGACACTGAAATGTGATCACTTTCTTAACAAAAAAGCCTGACTGATTAGCCATTTTCATCTCTGAAAAACTAAAATATATATTTTTTAATTTGGTTAACTTCAAAGTCAGCAGTGTTCAAAATTAACAACTTAGTACAGATTCTATCAAAAATAAAGATTTTATCTTGCGTCAAACGGACTGACACAAGACAACTGTTATGTAATTGATACCCCAGCTGTCATGGGAATTATGGATTTTCTTGGGTGATGTCTAAGATAAAAACACAGCTGACATTCAGGAAAGGGGGGATGTCGAGCAACCGAAACAGAAAGATTAAAAGGGATGCAAAACACGAATGAATGAATGAATGCCCCGAGTACACGGAGTGATTCACACAGCCGCCTCTACAAACAGGACTGGTATCCAATGAGTCTGTCTGGAGAAAGAGCAAATTGCCAACACACACATACATAGCATATCTAAAGCAATCTGATGTGCATTTACCAAAGGTGCCCAATAAGTGTAAAGGTATCCGATTTTCAGCGATGGCACAAACTGTGAACAGGACACCACCAGGAAATACAGATTCAGGAATAGCTTGAACTGCTGGTACAATACCTAAATGAAAAATAGACATAGAAAAACAATTAATTAATACAGTGAACATGTACACAGATACAGCATCCTTCTAGAGTAACATGAACAGTTCCAAACCAGACAGCTGACATATATCTAGTTGTGATTAAGCAGAAGCATGTTACACATTAAAGTGGAAAAAGATCCATTAGTGTTTGTTACTTCCTGCGTGAGCAGCAGGTAATGCATTAACCTGATTAGGACAGAACCAGTTTTTAAATTACAGCCTCATCCAACCTCTCATTGAGAGTGGGCTGTAGAAGTGAGAATTACAGGTGCTGATCAAGGAGTTTAATCCTTTATTTAACCAGATATGTCAATTGAGAACAATTTCTCATTTACAATTAATTTGGGAACTTGATTAACTTTAATTTGCAATTACATTCCCACAGATGTTCCACAGAGTGTGTGTGCAAATGCTACAAGACCCCCAAGAAAAGAATAAGTATATGCAATACAGTTATATTTTTAAAGTCTGGAACTGGAAGCTTAACACTGAAGATAAAAGAAGATACGATAAAGAAGAAAAGCTAAGAAGATAAGAAAAGAAGATAAGTTAAAACTGGAAGATAAACCTTGATATCACGTAGGCTTCTCAAAACTGTGGATTATTCCCTAATTCTGAGCAGATGATTCAGTGTTGTTCAGCATTCATTTCTTGCTCTTTAGAGAAAAACGAAAATCTGAATGCTTCTGGAACAGCGAGTCACAATTGTGCTGGACCTTTTTTTTACTCTGCTTTTCCTTTACAGAGTATCTATTTCTGCTAAAGTACGAAATGATTCAGTCAGTTTGAAATAAATCCAAAAGTTTGCACTAGCCCCTGTGAAGCAGACAATGCAGACTATTAGATTGCTTATGACTTCATCATTAGTCACTATGGAAGTGCTGACAAGTGCTGCTATCTAACTGGATATTTCTGCATTTAAGTCACTTTGTGCGCGTCACTTGCAATCTGCATTTTGAAACACAGTCTTTAGTGCTTTAATGTTAAGTGATTGATCAGCCTTTGCTCATCATTCCTTTTTCTCCTCAGAACCTTCTCACTATATTGAAGTGTCTGTGTTGTTGGTATCCATAATGTTGTTTCTTTTCAAACTTCCATAGTGATCAGTTTCCCAGTTGAAGATAGCTCAACCTTCTATCAGGTGACTGATTGTAGACACCAGTTTGATACACATAATGTCAGCGTGGGAGGAAACTGAAAGCTCACGAGGTCACTTTTCCACATCTTGCATTTAACAAAGTACCAGGCACAACTGCATTTTTTCTGTTTCATTTCTTAGCAACAAATTCAATTCACATTAGATCTTTTCATAATGTTAGATATTTTAACACTTTTCTTTCAGTCAATCTAATTTGATTAAAAAAAGATCTGCTGGATTAGTAAGTGAATAAACCATACGTCCGGCCTCCATATTCATTGCAAAAACCCCTTTGATAACTTTACTAGAACAATAGAGCTCAGTTAAGGATCACTGACATTGTGACCTTTCACTTTGATGTGTGGCAGTCTAACAGCAGCTCACCAAAGGTTAAAGATTTTCCCTGGCTGGAGATAATAGTGTTCAACAGAAATAAAATAAAATAGCATAATCCAAAAATGTGACTACTATTAAAAAAGTAAAGTCCTCAACCAGCGACACAGCAAAAGAGTGGTAACTGACCAAGCAGGAATTCTGTAAAATATCTTACACCTGTCTTGGAAGGAGAAAGCACAGGATAATGAATACCTGTTGTATCCTTATATTTTTGCAGTGCTTTTCTAACACATTATGAACGGATCCTAAACCAATATTTACAAAACAGGAAAAAATTGTGTTGTTTTAATTTTGTTTCATTGTTACATTCAGATCTATGACTTCACAAAAGGCAAGGACTATGGTATAAAATGAAGCCTTGCTGGTATGTTTTGTATTACAGTTCCAGCTTGCTAGTATGTATACTGTATAAATAAACTACAAACTTTCAACTTGTAAGACTTGCTAGAATGAGTAAATATTAAAAAAATAGAGGGGAAGCATATCAAAAAAGTGCATTTAAAACAATTCTGAACATTTAACAAATTAGGTACTGAATGTGTTTTTTGGTAACATGGTACATCTTTTTTGTGACAGTGTGCCCTACAGCAGTGATATCTGTTGGAAAATAGTAGATGTTTTCTCCCATGAGGCTAGTTTAAGTATCAGGAAGAAGTATATATTATTCCTTATATATATCAGAAATATATATATATTATATATATATTCCTAATGCAAGAAATCGTATATGGCTAATAAAGTGATCTTATCTTATTACAAATTAGTAAGAGGTAGAAAGTATACATGAAATGCCTTTGCACACAATTAGAAAAATCACAATGTCTGTGTGACTACAAACAAATGATATTGCTAACAATATAAATAAAATATTCTGAAAAGAACATTTTTTAACAATGTAGCCACAACAACAGAATATCAAAGCACTAGGAACACATAATACAATTCAATGTATGGCAAAAGGCAAAAGAAACACAACTGAACAGTAAGAAAAGTATGTTGTATTGGAACAAACACATCAGGATATCTATGAAGTACTGGGATGTACTAAAGTTACGTTATACAACCACAAAAGCAATAAGCAACAGGCTTTCTTTCATGACAGGTCTAGATTGAGTACTGCAGTTATATCAATTATAATCTGAGTAGAAAGCCTATACCACAGCAGTGATGTTAAGGGGCTGCAATCAATGACACTGTATAGTTAATGAACTTTGTGACCTTTAGGAAAATGTACACTACTTAACCAATCTCTGTGTGTTTAATAATTTAAACTAAGGGAGAAAACACAGGCTTGGTTCAATAAAGATGAGAATATTTATCTGTCTGAATGACAGTTGACATTTTATTGCACTGACAAAAGATCAGTCTCTTAATTATGCAGCCATTAGTTTTTGTGCGTTTTAATAAAGAGGCATAATAGATCTCAAGCATTTGCCCGGTATTAGACTAATGGGGAAAATCAATGCCCAATATGAAGTCAGCATGATTCGTTAAATTAAAACCTGAAGGGAAGAGTGCCAACAGCACGGTATAATTCTGCAGTTATGATGAGCAATTTGGCTACAAAAGAACAGGATAGAGTGTAAAAACAGCTTGGTGATTATAATACAGAATGAATAAGAAATGCTCAATCAGATCATAAATACATATTTCATCCAGATAAACACATCAGGCATTACAAGACATGTCAATTTCTTATCTAGTTTGGAAATAACCTCCACTGATCAAGTACTGTTGCTAGAGGTATTGTGCAGACACAAATAGTTGTGAGCAAAATTATAGGCTCAGCTCACCACTTCATCCATGTTTTAATTTCAGTTAAGACAGAAAGCACATCCAGATTCATAATTAACTGTTTTACATAGTTGCATTAAAGTTGTGTTTTACATGCAGCATTTCATTAAATTAAATGGTTTAAAATGTGTCTTAGAATAAAATGTATCTGTATTTTTTTAAATTATCAAGAATAACGTATCAAGTCCGTGGTGCTGTATCTTTATAAACAGATATTTGTGTAAAAATAGTAACTCCTGTCCATTACAGTATATTTTCCAAACACAATGTGGAATTATAACAAAGCAGAACATTGTTTTTTGATATTTTGATATTACCCTATACAAGAATGATTCATAAAAAATATCACTGCATTATTTCCTGCAAAACAACTATTTTAAAGCTAATATAATTATAAAACAGAATGGAAAATAATGGCCTTATGTACACTATGGTAAACCTATCAGTAGCCTAAAGTATTCACAACTATTAACACTTCACATTTTACAGAGTAAACAAAGCAGCAAAAGTCACAGTCACAGTGTTACTCTAAATGTAAAGAGAAAAAATTCTATAAATTTACAGAATAGCAATACCACAGCATAATACATTTTTACCTCTACAAACAACCATTGTGGGGAATCAGTGACACAAAACAGTATCTCGGAGATGAACCTGTAGGAGCTGTGGGACATGCTGCCCAGCCATGCTGTCGAAGCCAATACCATCACCTGCTTCGAGAAACAGCGGGATGAGATCCTCCAACAGCTTTTCAACTAAAAACCAAATGTGCTGAATGGGATAAAAGGCCACCTTTATTTTGTGCACTTTATGTTTTGCAGGCCTATGAAATTACTATTAAATTAAGTGCGCATTTATTTCTTAATATTCTTTTAGTAGAGATCTAGACGCATTGCATCTGCTGGAAAGCTTCCAAGGTGTTGAAAACACTTCAGACTAAAAGCACGGTGTCCTATAATGGCATCTGGTGTGCAATAAAAATACAAATGTCAAAATCAAGCAGGCCCAGCTGTGAACATTTAAATATGAGCACCACGTTCTAATATTGTCGGATAAGTGGTCAGCTACTGTACTGGTCTATATGAATTCCACGGCACAGAGTATTTCTTAGCGAGACAAAAATAAACCCACAGTACAGCTCTCAGCTTTTATCTCAAGAAGCAATACCTCTATTTTTGTCTAGTTTGTTTTGTATTTATCCATCTAAATAACTGTGTTTAGAGCTGATGTCCAAGCTGTGAAGATATAATAATTATTTATTTAAATAGGCAAGACTGACAAGGGTGACACAAACATTAAGATGTAAACTTGCTGAACACAAAGGAGACCAAATACATATAACCACAGCAAAAATGTAAGACAAATTACTAAGTACCAATGTACAGGAACAAATTTAACTATACCCAGATCTGTTTGATTAAGTAGAAATCTGTTAAAGCAGAAAAATTAATTCTTCAGAACTGGAAAAACTTGAATCTTACAAGTTGGGGCCTCTCAGAACAGTCTGGAAAAATGTACAGCATAAGATTGCCTCTTGTTCTAGTGTCTTTTTAGAATTTAAATTTTATAGTTTAAATAATTTTGGTTATTTTCATTCCTAAATAATTAATTAATTTTCCTTTCAAAGGGATACAAATAATGGTGAAATGTTACACTTAACATACTCTATTATACCTTGTATCAGTCCATAATACTCCTATGTCCTAACTGATTAAAAAGAATAGGGAGTACGATGGACAAAAGCCACAGCTGAGCTGAAGAAAACACAAATGTTATCTTCTTCTGGCTGGTGCAGATTCCTGCTGGACTGTCGGTCTCAGTCCTCAGTGCTACACAGGAAGGCTTAGTTAACCACCTATCACTTAATACACGTCAGCTGTTATCTCAGGTGACAGTCTGTGGTTTTCACCACAGTATGAAAAGGTGACAGTACAGGTTTGCTAATATAATTGTCTGCCTGTCGAGTAATAAAAATACATATTGAAAACCTCCGGGGAACAGGATTAACTGAAAAGTCTATAACAAATGATTTTCAGTCATTAGTAGATGAAATTATTACAGGCCCCATACATTACTATATAACACAAACCCAATAAAAGGAGACACTTTATTATTTTTCCATTATAAAACACTCTTTAATAGCATGTGAAGTCCTTTGTATTAAAAATGAAAGAAAAAAAGCAAGTCTCAGGCTTCTAAAACTACACTTTCATCAAAAAAGAGTAAAAACTAAAGGACTTCTTTGTACTTCAGAAAATAAATTGAAATTGTATATTCCTTTTTTAAAAAACTTTACAGAAAAAAAACAGAGGGTGACATTTTGTTCAACTTACCCCAGGAACAAATGTAAAGACATTGTACTTCTGATTCTTGATGGCGTTCCTTGGATATTTTTCTTCGCATTTCTCAGGACAGCCCAGCCACACCGTTCGTGCTTTGAACTCTTTCTTCCGTCGGCATGTGTGCACGAGCCAGTCACAGCAGCTGTCCAGAAAAAAAAAAGACACATTTGAAACAAAATCCAGATGTGCATGTACCCTACAGCCAGCATCAACTCAAATCTTAAACCCACTTTCTGTCACAACCCAATACTTGGCACAAGCTTCCCACAGGGTTTCAATAAAGATCATGAGGGAAAAAACTGACTTCAAATACTGGGCTTGTGCTATGGATTCCCAATCCACGCAAATCACGGCTAGGTCTAATCTGGTGTAATTGATAACTAATCGAATCTTAACTAAACAACTGTGGACTTCCTTGTAATTTTATAGTTTGTACCCACCTGAACTATTTTAAAGTTTGTTTTGTTTCAATAGATACATGCAAGTTATAAACCCAGTTTTCCTTCCCAATATCAAGGAACCTCCCAGTCTTAGTTTTAAATTGAAAGGTAAAGATTCAGTGACACCTTAAACTGCAGAAAAGCTATACGGTTCTGCCATCAGAGTCAGGCCTTTTCACAAGCATCTCCACAGACATAAAAATATACAACATACGCATATAAACTATGTATGCACGTGTATATATACAGTATATACATGTAATTTAGGATATAAACAATTTGAACTAGAAAAAGCAGCATGTAACACTGCTTTATATGAAGGTTGCAAATTATGTACACATAAGCCCTATAAAATATTTTTAATATTGTCTTTTACATAACATTTTTCATCCCAAAAGATCCTAAGGCTACGCAAATAGGAGGGAACACACATCCAAAAAAGATTGCAAAAGGTCACATTCTCATTAAGTACAATTTAAATGTAGTAATATTATGTTAAAATTATGTCCCCTTTGAAGTGGGCATGCAAGATTGTGCACAATAGCCCTTAACATTTCAAACAGATATTGTTGTCTCAGCCTTTTGAATTACAAGGCAAAAACAACTGATTACAAAAATCTAACATGCAGAGTATTATACAGATACCTTAAACAACAGGTGTTGTGTATAATTATTAAAGGCAATAATCCATTGCTAAATAATTAAAAAGAATTATGTGTTTTTATCCAGATGGTCCCTTTCAAGATTTATTAAAAATAATTAGAAAAACACAAACACTGGGAGCATAACTTATAAAAAGCCTTTGAGCTATAAGCCTGTTACTGTTAAAGTTCATTTGTGTAAGGATCCGCATTACAGGAGCTATTTACACATCCTTTGCAATAAAACCATGCACCTTCAGTTTGTCAGCTGAGTCCCTGTGGTTCTATGTAATGCTTAGCTAACACGCCTTAGCGTTGTAGCATGCAAACAATACGCTGAGGATGTTTGTAAAAACTAAAATTAATATATTTGAAAGAAGAAGAAATGCCACAGAACGCTGGTCTTTTAATGTTCTTTAAATGCTTGTTTTTAACTCCTTATATGTTCCTTTATCACCTAGATTGCATTCATTCTACTAATTAAATGCAGAAACAAATTAGACTGAAAATCTTTCTTCAAGACAATTCTATAATAATGGCATTAAATGACCCACTAGGGGTTAATGGGAGAGCAGAGTAGTACAGAGCCTAGCCTTTTGTGCACTGAAGTGTAGAACTCTGAAGAGTCTGAAATACACATACTTTCATTGTGTAAAATATACTGTAATAATTGTGCTCTACAGGTATCCTAAGTAATGAGGCCAAGCACAGCTCTCTAGTCCTGTCAACCCTCAAAGATCAGCATTTTCCCATGCTTCAGCACAGACAATGGGCTACAGATTAATTGAAAGTGTTTTAGACCATCTTGCAGAGCAGATTAATCCCAGTATTTGATATGCCCTGCACTTCACATGGAAATGCCATTCAGTCACACAATTTTCATACTGATAAACTGTTTCTGAAAGAACCAGGGATGAAAATCTCATGAGAAAAAAATCAATTCAGCCCAAAAAGACCTTGGAGTATTGATCTGCCTGCATTATGTATCACTAATTTTCCCAAGCTTAACACATTTATTTTGGGGGTGGAGGGTGGCATGTAAATACAAACACTTATAGAGTATGCAGCCCTAGTGCATTAACAATGCAAAACAAGCACTACACCACTTGACATAGGTCACAATTATATTCTCGTATTAAATGTTGATCGTGAAAACGAAAACTACATCTTGAGCAACATCATTGCCGACAGACATTGACAGAATCAACAGTGCCTACCCAGGAAGTTAATCAAAAATGATGTCTTAACTCGGCATAAAATTTTACATACTGTAGATCCAGATCTTCTGAATACATTGCACTTTGCCAAAATCAATATGGGTTATGAAAGAAATGTAAATTGAAGCTCAGCCAGGTTAATTCCTTTAACAAATCTACATATAAAGTACATTTGAAGATTGTATGTAGACTTACACTGACTTGTGCACAAGAATAACAAAAAGTAAAACTATATAGGCTTAACCAAACAAATACAGATGCAAGTAAAAAAAAATTAATACTGTGCATGTTTTTTAATCTAAAGTCCATACCAAGTAACCATGATGATATGTAATATACAGTATAGTGATAAAACTACTTTTGTGAATTTACTTTAAGAATCAGACTTTTTTTCATTGGTTTAATCGTCACAATCAATACTATAGTGCAGTGAATTTCAGATAAAAGTTTGGTAAAAATCTTGGCCTTTTTAATGTTTTTTAAGATGTTATGAGTATAGTCCTCCTTCATTGCTGTGCTATCACTTGATGTAATGATCTGAACGTCTTAGTAAGTGACTTCAATGTTAATTTTAGGCAAATGGTGGGACTCTGTATAGTGTTTTATATGGTATATTATAGTGTATATAACATGTGCTTGCACACCATTTTTTTACATCTAACAAAAACTACTACAAACTTCAAATTGTAGCATAAAAGAAATCCACAAAATCAAAAGTATGGAACCAGTATTTCAACAGGAAACCTTTAAGAGTTTATGTTAGATATTAATACATTTTCTTATCATGGTTTTCACCATAACCTATGCAAAAAGGCTGTGGTGCATAATAGAAATGGGACCAAACCAGCAGGCAGGCCTGCAGTTTGTTATACAAATAACTACTTGCACAAAACGATACATACAGTACAGTACACAACATACCTAGAAGCAGGAGGAAGAAGTTACGTTTTTTTGAGTAATGTCATCTGACATGTTGATTAATTTAACTTTTCCAACTTTTAAACACATTATAAAACTGAAAGAATTATGTTTGTATTGGCCTTCCTGCTGCTGCTCACCATGTGCCAAAATTTGATTAATTCCTTGCTCATATGAAAGATTATTTGCACAAATGATAGTTGTTTAAATACAGAAAATTGGGATCATCCGAGTTATTCTGCTTGAATTATTTTTATTTTATAATCCCAACTATAAGCACACTAACTACTGGAAAGCATCAAATTTGTCAACTGTGAAAAATCCAATTTGTTCACACAAAAAAAATCAATTTGAACTCAGAATAGAGATGCATCAGTGATAATCACACTGCAGGTGAAACCTGTGATTGCTTTTTTTTAATATCCTTTAAAAACATTCTTAAAACCAAAAACTAACAATGCATTACTGTTTATCAGAATATGGATATGTTTTGTATTTTTACCAAAAAAAAACAGTTAAATGAGCATTTGAGTCACCCCCCCCCCCAAAGAACTGGGGCTTCTAAATAGCATAAATCTGGAAACATGAGTCACATAAGAAAGCTAGATAAAAGCTGCTCTCAGTTTATTGAAGCACAATTTCTCTGATAATAATGAAATGTAATAACTTAAAAAGGTGACTGCGGGTCGTCTCTGGCAATTTCATTTCTCTTCTAAGGTATGAGAAATACAAGTGAAGAGCTCTTCACTTTTTTAACATGAGAAATCCTGTCATCATATCAGGTTTTGTTTGGAAGAACTGGCTGCTCCCATCATTTTAACCTAGCACAAAACAAAAGGCTGTCTAACAGGTTATATTATTCAGTAGCTAAACTGCTGGTGTTTTTTTTTCCTTTAACCCCAAAGCCCTTTTTGGACCAATAGCGCGGATTGAGTAAGTCAACCAAAAACTTGTCCTCTGTGTAGCGTGCTCTTCACGCACAGTCACCAGTGCGTTCACAATCCGGCCTGAGCTACTCTGACATGTGCAGCCACTACTGACAAACATACTGAGGGCACACAAGTTTACCAACACAGTACATCTATGACAATGGAGATGACATCGCAGTGGCTCCCACCGTTTCTGAAATATATGGCACTGCATTCTATAATGTTTCGGACAGAGGCAGAGCTGATGCTGTTAAAACAAATCTACAGTATGTGTCACATACTCAGAAGAATGCAGGTTTGAACCCCTGCTGTGCCACAGTTTCAATGTTACCATGAAACACTCGTGTAAATGCTGGGGTTTACCAATCAAGATTTGTAATTGTTTCGTTAAACCAGAGAGGTTGAGTGGAGGCAGTGTCTGTCCTTGTACTAAACCTGCAATGGCTGCTATCTGCAGTTGCACATTTATGATGCATAATAGTGCTTTGGCGAGCTTTCTTTGTTTCTCTAGATTGGTGCTAGCAAGATGTAACTGTCTGGGCTTAAAAGACTGATTAGTTAATTACCAGGTTAGCGTGATATAAAGACTTATTTTTTACTTCAGTGGACATCAAACTGCCATATAGAGTTGCCAGAGAAAGTATTAGATTACTGTTGAGTGAATATTTTGAATTTTAAAGATTCATTTTTAAGCTATCGTACACACTGTTATGGGATAATACATGACATTATAAAATTGGATAAGCCGTAATCATTTAACACCTGTAATTTGCCTAAGGTTACAATAAAAAGTAGAAATCCCTTTTGGCATTTTCTGAATTTATTTAATGGAAAAAAGTGGACTATACTCTCATAAAAGACTGATTTAAAGGTTCAATTTAAAATAAAGTTTAATATAACTATTATTAGTACTACACTGCATGACAGTGCACTGAGCGTCACAGATACTGTAAGTGGCAACTGTGAATACAAGCAACTCAAATGAACCTACATTCATTAAAGCGCTGTTCAAAGATGCTTTGGAAACTGAGACAAAACTGTGCAAGGGTTTTTTTTCAATTCAACACCAATATTAAAAATAGTCACAACAGTTTTACGCTGTTTGACACATCAACAAATAAGAACCAATGAGGAATGAGAGCCAATTTAATAACCTAAAATGCTTACAAAAAAAAACAGTAAGAGTATTTTGACAGAAGAAAACAAGCAGTTTGCTTTTTATTTTTTTTTTAAAAGAGCCACAACCTATCACATACACTACCTAAGAAAGAAACTGGAATGTAGTGGGAGAGAACTAGAATGAGAAATTGGTGTTTTGATGATGTATAAGATGTGAAATACCTAAACCTGTGATGGAGAATCCTCTCCTAAAATATGGTATATTCCTCAATCACCAAGTCTTCAAGTTCTAAATCTTGGTCCCCTTAGAAGTAATCTTATATTGCCATCCCTAGACTGTTGGACACAAGGCATCTGTGCTAAACAGAGGAGACCATCAGTCTGATGTGGAATGTTGTTCATAATGCTGAGCAGATCCCTGCCTAGGTTCCAAAGTGGTTGGTTCAACAGGGGGGTTAAAGACAGAGATCTACCTCATAATTTGATGTGGCTCACATGAAGGGAAATCATTTGATGTTGCAAAAGCTGCCTGGACAAGCTGGGCTCTGAATGCTGTCCCTGGCCTCTCTCAATGAGAGTCACCATCAACAATCAAGATGGTGGTTGCTATTCTTTCCCATAGCACAACACTGACTCTGGCCCTCTCCACAACACAGAACAGGGCACAACATGTGAAAGCCCTTAACATGACCTTTCACTGACATTGCAATACGCAATGTAACATCATGCATGTGCACTCATGGTGTTTCTGAGATTTGAAGAGGATTGCAGCAGCTTTTTGCAATAAAAAGAAAGAAACAGAATCAATAGTACTTCTCTTGCTGTAAAACACCAAAATAATGAAGTTAATATTTGATTCCTTACTTATATAACACTTTTATGGACACAGCCTTTGGGGACTCCCTTCCACCACCATCAATGTGCAGCACCCACCTGGATGAGATGGCAGCCATAGTGCACCATTACAGGGGGGAGGAGAACAGATTATTAGGTGATTATAAGGAGGCCGTGATTGGTAAAGACCAATGGGAAATTTGGCCAGGATGCAGGGTTAACACTCCGACTCTTTTCGAGAAACGTCCTGGGATTTTTCATGACCACAGAGAGTCAGGACCTCAGATTTACGTCTCATCCAAAGGACGGCACTTTTTTACAATACAGTGTCCCTTTCACTATACTGAGGCATTAGGACCCACACAGACAGTGGGGTGAGCGCCCCCTGCTGGCCCCACTAACACCTCTTCCAGCAGCAACCTTAGTTTTTCCCAGGTCTCCCATCCAGCCGAGCTTCAGTGGGCTGCCAGTTGTTAGTTGCAGGGTGATATAGCTGATGATGCGATCCATCGTTATATCAGCTGAAGCTTGGGCAAATCAAAAGTGTTTTTCTACATTGCACCCCAGCCACCAATATACCTTACAATCTCAGTTTAATAAAGACATAAAAAAGGAATTAATTTTGAAACTCTAAAAAAATCTCATACTAAGCAAAGCAATGGTACATGCTCTCAATTTTAACTAAAAGAGAAAATAAAATGGCCTACAGAAATTTTTAAAACAACACCCTTACAAAAGAGCTCTTGCTCCTCATAAGCAACATGTTTTTTCAAGGAACACACTGCAGAAGAGCTGAATGAACAACAGGAAATATGATGTTCATGTGTTTCTGTACCCCAGACAGCTTCTTAAAACACTGATACTCAAGACGCCTCCCACAAAAGGTTAGCATTACTGTACAAAAGAAAAATGTATCCATTGCCCATTAAAAGTGCCATGAGACCGTGAGGATTCTGATAATCAAGATCCTAGAGCAAACTGTAATTGTGTATTGTGTACCAGACTATGCTTAAAACACTGGATGCATTCTTCACACGGACATTGTTAACTAATATGCTTCAACCTGAGACACAAATTCCATGTAAATCTATACAGGTTATCTGGAAAAGATTTCTTTACTCAAATGAACTTATCCTACAGGTTTCAAGGTTTTTACCTTCAAGTTACATATTTTATGTAACATGGAACCCATAAAGAAATTGCTCCTGTGAAGAGCACAAATATGATAGCCAGCTTGTCAATACCATTTTTTTCCCAGAATGGTCAGGCCAGCACAAGGGAATGAAATCAGGCCTTTGTGAGAAGTTAATTAGAGTCAAGATATGTGTTGTCCCACTGACAGATGATCTACAGTGTATTCTTTACTTTGATATGCACTGTATTTCGGGGTGCACTATATAAGTAATGATAAAATTGTGTTACTACTGTAAATACACTTGAAGTCTTTACCTGTATTGTTTTAAGCTAAAGAAAGAGCACAACGACTGATATTACTGTGAACTAATTACATTAAACATAACCTTTATGTTGCTGAAAGGGGACACAACATATGTTTCATACATATGTTTCATACAAACTTATTTTTAGATCTCCACGCCTTTAACTCCCACTTGCTGTGTCACTGAAACTAAGGCCAATTCAAATGCCACTCTTAGTCTGTCAAATCCTGAAAGAATCAAGCAGACATATCCAAAAAGCTCTAGATTACACATCTGTTGCCTGGTGTTTGACCTCCAAATGCAGTGGTTTTATTCCTATTTTTTAGAATAAAAAGAAGATGGAATCTCTAGTACTCTATACTCAAAACCCTTATTGTTACCCAGCACAAAAACTTAAATCTGTTAGCCAAAATGTGGTTTCTTCATCTGTGTGTATGTTCTGCAATGCCTGTGTAAGTTAATGCATTTTATTACACTTCAACTGCGTCCATCCGGAGGATGACACATTGGGAAATATGAGTCAATGATTAGCAAATAATCAAAACTGCACCCATAAACACAACTACATGCAAAAGAGGGTCAGATATGCAGTAAAACAAAAAATGGCAATTGAGACTGAAGTAAGAGATAGCAATGTGTTAGGAGGTTGGAAGAAAAGCATGTATAACGCATCTGGAATGGATGCTGTATGATGTGATGAAGTCTTCCTGCATAGACAGATAGGTAGACAGATTAATTTTCAGAATGGGTAGTGGGAACAAAACTGTTTACAATTTTCTAACATAAAACCAGACTAAAAAACATAAGAGAACACTGTTCATTCATGAATTTATTTTCTTATCAAATTTCTCCTCCCTAAAGTTCTGTGATGAGAACGTCACTACTGACAGGAAGCTGAGCCTAATGACTTTTACAGGACATTTTGTTGTTTTGCTTAGAGATCACACTAAGGTATAACACCTTGTATTTTCCAAGTCGACCAAATGTGCTCTTTATGGGGAATTCTGATGTATAACTACATGACAAATGAGAGCAACTGTATCATTTTATTCAATAGATGTGTTACTATTCCCTTCAGAGCTAACTATCCTGTCAGGCATTTGTCTACTGATGATATTTCTCTGACAGATGGGCATCTCAAAGAATTGCATGACTCTACCAATGCAGTACAGTCTGTTACACCAGTTAAATCTCGGATATCTGAACATAGTTTCAGGATGCTTGATTTCCAGTGGACTGCTACTGCTCTATTAACACAGCAAAGAATTCCAAAAAAATGCCTGAAATTTGCGGCATGAATGAAGAAAAATGTGAAACACACATTTTAACGCACATCTTCCCATTGGTTTTGCTGAGCACACCAAAAGCACCCACAAACATGGAGGCAACATAAAAGCACATTACTCTACCTGGTACACAGTACTTTCCACCCGCCCAGCAAGAACCACCCCAAGCTGTGTTTCCTCTGAGTGACCCTGGCTCTCGGCAAGGTTTGGTAGTCGCTCTCGTCATTCTCAAAACCTTCTTCGGACATCATCAGGGGCATCTCATCCAAGTGGGAGGACTCATCTTCCACCTGATACCTGTTGTCAGAATTGAATTGCGCGCGTCAGACATAACAAAAATAACCCACCACCAAACCCTTCACCAGCAAAGCTCAGCACAAACAGCTGCCACCAAGACACATAGAGAACACATACATGTCCTACCAGTGCAGTGAGATTAACATGATATGGTATGTTGGCAACTCTACTGCCTTTGAAGAAATATTTATTTTCTCATTTACTATTGTAATCATCAAATATCTAGAATGTAATTTTTAGACTAAATGGAACAGAGCTTAAATTAAAAAGTTTAGCTCATCCAAGATTTTTTTTCTAGATCGTTCTAACGTTAGTAAAACACCATAAAACACAATCCCTCAGATCTTGCGTATATCTTAAATCAGAAATGTGTTAAGACCAGGAACCCGTGAGTTTTGAACAATTTTGTGAATTCATCAATTCACTTAATTCCAGAATAGACCAGTTGAGAGCTACAAGGTGTTGATATTTTCATTTCAGAAGATCATTGTATTACCTGACTGAACAGATCACCTACTTAAAAATCAGTTGTTGTCTAGAAACTGATTATTTAAGGGGGAACAATAAAAACTACCAAGTTGTGCATCTACAGGAACAAGTGTGGATATTCCTGTCCTAAGGTTTCATTAATTTCAAGGAGGAAGTGGTGGACATCTTCATTACATTTCAGTTCTATTCCACCATTCATAAACTCACATAATTTAGTGTAAGATCACGTCTAAATTCCTGAGGAATTAAGAGGTTGTAAATGATTGGTGACAGATCTTTCTTGTCCGGATAATACATTTTAGTTTAAAAACCCATGCCAAGATTTTGCTGTCCACATTTGAAGACTTTACTCATTCTTATGAGATTACTGCAACAAATGAAAGTATCTTACAAAAATGAAATAAGTGAAATTCCCATTACAACTGCTACAGTAATATTTTTAGTACCTTATACAGAAACTTTAAAACCTTTGGCAAAACTTCTGTGCAGCAGATGAAGTACAAATAGCCTTTGTATGCATAGAAAATAATGAGAGAAATCTTTAGAACAAAAATATTCGTCATTCAAAGAAAAACAGGTAAAGCAAAGCAGATGACAGAAGGAAAATGTGAGCATGTTCACAAATCAGATACAAAAATAAGAATGTCCACAGTCTCGGACTAAAACAAAACCCTTGTTTTTGTCACAGCCATTACAGAGGCTTTTGCTGGCATTTTGCATACAGATTAGCAGATCTTACTTAACAAACAGAAGCATTTCTTTAGCTGCAGAAATCATCTCAGCCAGTTAAAGAAACCACTTGATTTGGATTTTTCTTTCCATAGAGTGAAACCCTTTGAATTGTTAAAACAAAAAGAAACTAGTACAGTTCGGGGCCTTAAAACTATTTTGCTGATAAAAAACTAACCTCCTAGAATTCACAGCTAAAAAATAGCATAAGACTTGGGAGAGCTAGAAAGATAAAGGCACATCAGAATGATGATCTCTATCGATCCGCAAGCCCTGGTACAGCAAAAGGCTAACATTTGTCACAGCCTTGCTAAGCCCAATACCTGATCTTAGCTGGGTCTGATAAACTTCAAGAAAAGCTCAATTCATTTAATTGATGATATGTTCTTTCAATACATACTAAGCTGTACTTTACTGCATGCATTGATTTTCCAAACCAACCCTTTCTCATGACAAACAAAACAACAAAAATAGTCTGATTCAGACTTATATGTGCACATATCAATTTTGATAAGCAGTCTGCAATGCAGTAAATCTTAAGGTGCATCCAATATATGAAGACACTGCTCTTTATTAAGATAACAGTCCCTTTACAAAAAGAGCACTACAGAGGGCAAAGAAACACACTCACTGTTCAATTCCACACACAAAGACAGCAGTGCAATATGGTCTCCAAAATGTTGCATAACCATTTTTACTCAAACATTTATGACTTCTGCAAAAGATTTTGGTACAGGTAAAAGCCAACAATTAATATGTATTATAAATGATCCAACAGTTGCAGTACTTTGCACAGTGGTATTTTAGTTACCACTGCTAACTCACAGATTTTGAGTCCTGATTTCGAGATTGCATGTGCATCCCTATGTTTCTCGTGGGTTTTCTCCATGAGGCTCTGATTATCTTCCACCTTCCAAAGATGTGCCATTTAGGTTTTTCTGGCTATGCTACACTGGCCACCCAGTGTTTATTCCCCATATGCAAACTCCTGTATGCAAACTCCTTGTTTTACAAAAGAGACGCACCGCTTAAAAACCTTTCATTAAGTGAAAATCTGTTACACAAAAATGAGTTTCCCTCCAATCAAAAATCAATAATTAGAATTGTATAACCCAGGATAATGCATAATAATAAAGTATACAGTATGCATATAAGAATGCATTTATCAAAATAGATAGAATTAATTAAAACAAACATATAGTATAAAGAAAAAAGAACCAAAACTGCGAAGGAAAAGGAAACTGTGCTATTCAACACTGACGGACGTTGAAGCCAGTGACTGAGGTTCTGAGGCAGTTGATTGAAGATGAATGAAAGGTCAGGGATATTCAGAAAAAAGCACTAAAATGGCTAAATATATGAGTAGAGACTGTTTTGTGCAACAAAACTTTAAAGCATAAAAATGACGATGGGGGGCAAAGTTTGCTTTATGCAAGCTTTTCTTGAAGCAACATTTCATTATGTATACTGATTGAAAGTCATTAATTTTTCAAATCTACTATGTTAATATCAAATAACTGCTATCATTGTGGAGTAATCAATCAATTCCTGTGAATCTATAGGTTTATTAAATGATTTGTTATACTTATTTATTTTCCAACGATCCACTTATTTCTTGAAAAAAAGCCTTAACAACATGACTGGGTACTTCACTCCCAGAATCCAAATGAGTTTTGTGGACTCCCAAGAATTACAGCTCTTCATCTTTAAGTACAAGGCGGTCTCAAACTATAATAAATTAATTTGCAGAATACCAAATAACCTCAAGTAAACAATAAACAGGCTAGCAAAGCTTTTATCAATTCTATTGAAAAGAATAAAATAACTCCGATAAAGACACAAGTGTTCAACAAAGAGGATCTCTCAGACAATAAAGGGGGAGAGGGGTGTCACTAACATTACTGCTGAAGAGGCTAATATGGTATTTTCACACTTCATGTGTGTACATACATTTCCACTGTGGATTAAAAATGGATCAGATTAAAACACAACAGTGGAAACTCTCTACAATTCAAGTATATTTAATTACTTAGGTTTGATTGAATGCAGCTTCCTTTTAAATATTTTATTTAAAAGACTTTGGAGGCCACAGTGACCACACAATATAGAGCCTGTATCCAAGGTACTAGATATCAAATACTCTCATCCTGCTTGTTGCAAGCTGTAACCAAGTCTCTTTTTTGGTGCCTTTATTTTAGTTTGCCTTTTCTTGTCAATGAAGTTGCATACAGGTGTAATTAAATACCATGCATCAATGCAATAATGCTGGTTTCATGAAGGCTTTGAAGGCTCAAGAATTATCTTGGAGCAGGTAAAAAGGTAAAGGTATTTCTAAATTGATTAATTAAACAATGAAAAGACAAAAAAAACAACATTGTACCTTCCTGGATAAAAAAACAAATGTTTCAAAATGGAAAAATGTAAATAAATTGTATACAGATGTAAGTCCTGGGACCTGCTTTAAAACAGGAAAGTGTGAACTCAGAAAGCTTACATCAGTGAAAAAAATAAAACAATAAAAAGAAAAGGTAAAAATAAAGGTTTAAACCGCCTCAATTTCACTTTACTATAACCTATTAATAAACACCAAATGACCTCTAGCACTTAACTGTTCTCTCTTTCTAATCAACAGTTAACACCTTGCTGAAAAAAAATATATTTCATATGCTGCAAACTATCCACCAGAAGTAAGATATTGTATGTGGTTAGTGCACCACTTATTAAGTCAGATACTTTTTTATACATTTTTCAGATACATTGTAAATAGAAAACATTTCTAGGTTACAGTTGTCTTTATATTTAAATGTATTAAAATATACTTGCTAATTTATCTAGTCTCATTCTCAAACCACTCAAAAGGACTCTGAAATAATGTATATACAACCCATTTCCACATTGTCTCTGACAATATGCAAATCCAAGTGTCACACAACACTTGGTACCTTTGGTATTTCACCTAAAACATCTAACAAAGTCCAAAATTCAGACAGCTGAATTAATGTGCTTTGGAAATAGTAAAAATCTTCATTCTGAAAACTTCCTCAGGACTGAACGTCCAGAGTGAAAAAAGGTGTCTCAAACATGCCATATCTGACAGAGCAACTGTTGCTATTGACACCATGCTGTATTTGCATTTTGTTGTCTTTGGGCTGAAAACAAAGACCCTGAACAAATAGGGCTATGTATGATCTATTGTGCCTGTAGGTAGAGTATTTGGTCCAAACTGATTAAAACTTCAACTTCAAGGAACACTACCTCGTGTAGTGAAATGGGATTCATTCAGTTGTTATTCGATTCCACAGTTATGTTATCAATAATTAAATTATTAATTATCTTCAAAATCAATTTGCTTTGACATATATTTCTCAACTCTCTCTTGAATTAACTGTCTAAAATAAATTTTGCTACAAACTATATGTACAATTAACAGGTCAGTCATATTACAAGTCTATTGTGTCAGCTATTCCTGTCCTTGAGTGCCATGTTCCTGTATGTTTTCATACAGACCTACATTTGGAACTGGAAACCACAGCTGGTTTGTCTTCTTATCTGCTTAATTAGCTGATTTTAAATCATTAAGGTCTGAGAAACTAAATACAAACACATCAATGGATACTACCTTGAACACTAGAAACACTGGAAGTCTGGAGGTGTGTTGTGTTTGTAAGTAAAATGTCTTTTTACTTACTATTAGAACTAATGTGGAACTTTATGTTAATGTTTCAGAGCAAAGTTAAACTATGAGAACTTTGATATTAATATGTTTGGCATATCTCTCATGG